TTTTTGATTTTATGTAAGTTTTTAAGAATAGCTTAACATGAATATGATTAAATGAAGCCTTCACTATTCCCATTCGCCCTGGCCCTCATTTCTTATCTCTTAAGAATAAAATCTTCTCCTGATGCCTTGCTTTCTTTAGTTTCCTATCTTAGACCTGTGAACACTTAGATCTTTTTCCTCTACTTTATCTCTTTAAAAATTTCACATCTTCCAATCAAACACTTTGATGGACAGAGTAGCAGGGGTAGGGGTCTGGGGACCATGCTTTCAGGGGACATCTAGGTCAATTGGCGTAACAAAGCTTATTAAGAAAATGTTCTGCATCCTACTTTGGTGAGTGGCACCTGGGGTCTTAAAAGCTTGCAAGCAGCCATCTAAGATGCATGAATTCATCCCAACCACCTGGAGTAAAGGAGAATGAGGAACACCAAAGACACAAGGAAAGTATTAGCCTAAGAGACAGAAAGGGCCACATAAACCAGAGACTTTATCAGCCTGAGACCAGAAGAACTAGATGGTGCCTGCCTACCACCAATGACTGCCCTGACACGGAACACAACAGAGAGTCCTGGATGGAGCAGGAGAAAGGTGGGGTGCAGAACTCAAATTCTAGTAAGAAGACCAGACTTAATGGTGTGGCTGAGCTTGGAGGAACCCCAGGAAGCATGGCCCCCAGATTCTCTTATCAGCCTAGAACTGAAACAATTTCCAAGGCCAACTCTTCAGACAGGGATTGGACTGGACTGTGGGACATAAAGTGATACTCGTGAGGAGTGCGCCTCTTAGCTCAAGTAGTACCAGAGACTAAATGGGCAGCTTCTGTCCAGAGGTGAGATGGGAAGGCAGAGAGGGTTTGAAGCTGGTTGAATGGACATGGGAAATCGGGTGGAAAGGAGGAGTGTGCTGTCACAGTATGGGAGAGCAATTAGGGTCACATAACAATGTATGTATAAATTTTTGTACGGGAAAAAAAAAAAAATTCATGTCTTCCCTAAGCCCACAGCTGCGCCAGTCTAATATTAGTCCTAAATTCTGCTTTAAATTTTTTTTTTTTCATTTCATGCTTTAACCATGTCACCAATTCTTTTCAGTCCTTTACCCTCTCACTCCTCAGTATCTTTCATTTAACAAATATTTTTTGAGTGCCTCCTGTTTGCCAGGCAGTCAAAAAAAAGAAATAAAGGTTAAAAAAAAAAAAAAGTTCAGGACCTAACAGTAATCTGGCCTGCCTACATCATTATCGTGGTTTTCTCTTTCCTGCTCCATTTTCCTCACTCTTATCAAGGGTAAAGTTTATCTTTTTGTTTCTGTCTCCTACTTTTGCATTGCACATTTTTTGCTTGTTCTTCTATCCCTTTATTCCTAGAATTAATTCTCATATCTTTTCTCCTACAACCGCCTCATTCATGTTTCTTCAGATTCCACCTCTTGTGGGAGACATATGCTATAAATACTGTTTCCTAAAGCAAATCGTCTCTTCTTCACTTTTGATTTGAAAACAGCAATCCTCCATGTGGTCTTTCAGCCTATAAACTCCTGAGCACAGGAACTAAATCT